GTCATTTCAGAATCGATGTGACCCTCCTCCCCATTCATCAGCACATCCGGTGCTCAAGGTTTCTCCTACTGAGCTCAGTGAACTCAGTCCCACGCCACATGCCATCATCTAGATCTACAACCTGCCCCTACTGTCTTCAACACCCCCACCAGTGTCGACTCTCCAAAATCTTTACTTTGCACAATTTAATAAATGTATTTGTTCACTATAAATTAAGTTTCTCCTGATTGAACAACCTTTGGCTGCCTTTATAAATGTGTCAATTATCTCCCGTTTGTTTCAGTTCTCATATTTGTTATGTTTTATGTTATGTTTTATGTTATGTATGCTATTTTATTTCAAACTAATTTGCAATCATAAGAAGGTTGGTCTCGAAAATATAGTAGAGTAAAAATATTTTAGGTGTGTTTTCTAGACTTACACTGGTTATGAAAAAAAGTAGGAAAATAATCCTTGTGTTGATTTTGGAAGTTTGACCAAGCTTCAAGGTCTGAGAGACAATCATGATTTAAGATTCTGCTTTGGAACAGCAACCTCCTGGGTTCCGTGTAGTATAACTCAACCTATCCACAAACATTTAATAAAACGTTGGAACGCCTCACCTCTACTGCAATGAGTTCGGTGCCATTGTGCTCCGGCAGCCCCGGTGGCGTAGCCGGGTGGTATGGGAAGTAAGGGTTGTCTGGGCCGGTACAAAGGACGTAGATGCAACAGCACAATACTGTGGAAGAATAAATATCAGTGCTAACAGCAACAACTCTGTGAACACAAAAATGACTTTGATTAAACTAAATTACAAACTGTATCGCATCAAACAATGAATTCAACAAAATGGAAGTTGGATGTTCATGTGTGTACTGAGGAAGCTTTAGACGCTGTTAGAGACGTTAAATAAGGAAAAACATGAATTGAATTTGTTTTACCAGGCTGCTGCTGTTCTTCTTTGACTGGTGCCATTTCTCCAGTAGTTCTCCTACTAGAGAAGAAGATATTCTATCTTCTGCTGACAATATGTTAACTTATGGTCACAATATAATTGATCTATCTCGCGCAGGAAGAGTGTAAAATCAAAATATTAAGTCTTATTTCAGGACGTGCAGCACCTGATGAGTCCACACTGAGCATGGAGGCATCATGTTGAGAAGAGCCAACTCAAAGTGAACCATGTTAACACAGTGTGACTGCACAATAACCACAGAAATAGAAAGTTTGACTCTGGAATATTCTGATTTTTCTGATCGTGGTGTTTGCAGATGGGATGGGGTTATGTGAATATAATGTGTATTGTTTTATTTGACTGAGGTTTATTTTAAAGAAGATTATAAACTTCATGTCCTCACAGTCTGGCATGACACATTTTAATTTCGACCTGTAACATCCACAGCTGATAGTCTTTGTGACGTGTGACAGTTTATTAAAGAAAATGAAATCTACTCAAACTGAGGATAGATAAAACGGCGCTGATGCCAACTTAACAACGTAAACACCCGAGAATGAAACTGCTGCTTGACGAAGACGTGATTTGGCCACTGCCATGAAAGTGACCGTATCCAACACCGCCCTCCTTTTTGACCAATCACGATCTGCGCGTGGAGGCCGGCTGGCATAGAGAAAAAGCAGCAGAGGTCTCACTCTGTCACTATTCCTGGGTATCACAGAGTGCCGACGTTCCTTCTCTTCCGAAACTTCTCTTTCCACTTTTCGATGGTCTCTCGGCAAGATAAAAGGGATTTCTGTCCCCAATCATCGCAAAATATGCATGTACTTTAATAGCCAATACAATTCTATTTCAAAGATATTGAATTCAATTTAATTTGCATAGCCCAATAAAAAAAATAATCACACATTAGCATTGGAGGGCTTTCTATTCGTGTGATAGATGTCATGTGTACAGAATGAACAACACAATAAAATAACAATATCGAATCCAAAATCATACATATAATAAGAGTATTAAAAGCAGTAGTAGCACAAATATTAGCAGAAATAATAATAAAAAAACAATACAATAATAGCAGCTGACGATTAATACAATGATAATGACAATAAAGGTAGCAATATATGTTACAAAATATATTGTTCATGGGATAAAATTGTTGAACGATATAGTATTATATTCTTTTGTTTTGATCCGGTACTGAAATATAATTTGTGAATCTAATTTAGAGTACTGATAGAAAACCCGTGTATCATGTGTCGGATGTAAGAAAGATTGTGGGCGGGGTTACGGCTAGATAGCCTCTATTGAGAGTGATCCCCTCACTTTAATAGACGATCTTCGCGCTTTGCCCTTCCTGGTTAGTTATAACAACAGCGATGGCGGCTGCTGCACGGTTCTTCGTCCGAGGCGCACACTCGAAACTTTCCATCTCTGGCGTTGGCACCGGCCCTCAGATCTCTTTTGCCGCCACCCTGCTGAAACTGTCGCCGGGCTCCAGCTCCCGTACAAAAACACAACGGAGACATGTCGCGCACTTTACCTTCCAGCCTGACCCCGAACCCACACAGTATGGTGAGTGGCTGGTTAGCCGGCTAACGTTAGCTACTTCAACAGGAAATACTTGTGTAGCGCTGGAGGTTCTTCACAGTTTAACTGTTAAAGTCAAGTGACTCGCCAGCATTGAGAGCTTGATGTGAAAGGGTTGTATTTGCGATGTTTACTCAGCTGTCAAACCGGGAAAGAGACACATCTGTCACGGCATTTGACCGACCTGACGCTGTGTGTAGACAGCGCTTCTCCCTGTTTCAAGATGTCAAGTTCTAGGTGAACGTGCATTTTCATTTTTCATCCTCGTATGACCTGTGTGAGTTGCACGTTAGACCATGATTGTCTCCAAACTAGCTGCGATGTCCCAAAAACCATCAGGTATAAACGGGTGTTCAAGGTGAGCGCAGAGAAACTTTCCCCCTGATGAATGTGAAAACATCCCTCTACTGTCAAACTCTTCACATGCATCATTCTGCACAGTGAAGCTCACACAAGCTCAACTAACGACAAGCCAAACACAGCTTCTTCACTGCAGGGGAAGTGTTAGTAACCAGGCTGCATGCTGCCCTTTGTAGCAATGATGGTCAGCTGTGGCTAACGTCACAGTCTGTCTTCAACCGAGAATGCTGCCATTGCTGATGAGCTCCATTGTCTGGTAGAATATTATTGCTGGCTTATTTAATAGGGCAATATGCCGAGCAAGTGTATTAACAAGGCTGGCGTAGTGAATATATATATATATATATATATATATATATATATATATATATAAAACACACACACACACACACTCTCTCTCATAGTGTGAGACGGTCCCATGAGCTCATTGTTTCCTCTACATTTCAGTCGACCAGGATGTTGGCACTCAACACATTGCTACTGGATCCAGTCAAACAACCTGTTGGAATGTCAACTATTCCTTTTCTATAACAAAGCATTGTTTCTTTGATTGAAGGCAGTTTGCCAAATTATCTCAATGTGGTTTATTTCCTGCTATAACTGGTATGGTCACTTGCAGTTTGTGTACTTTTGTTTTTCAAATGCACAATAATGAATTATTGCTTGTGTTAAGTCCTTATTTTAAATGTTTTTTCTCTTTCTTAAAACCTTTTAGGCCCCACCGAGAAGATGAACATGTTCCAGTCGGTTACAAGTGCTTTGGACAACACTCTGGCCAGTGATCCGACAGCAGGTAGACATGTTATAGTGTTTATTAGATGGACATCTGTGAAGGGTCAACCCTTTGATCGCTTTTTAAATCATTCTCTTAACCTTGTAAGACGAGACACACGCGAGCCATGCAGAAATGTTGCACTACAATGCTTCACATTTGAAGTATTTAAAGGTTAGAGATGTCTAACAAAACATTGCACCTTTTAAAATACTTGATTGTCCTGCTAAATTAATCTGAATCTGTGTCGCAATGGGATAACTGTGTGTCCAATGATGTATAAATCACTATACAAATACTAGATATAATAACATATAAGAAACGTGAGCATCAGCCCAACTATTAAAAAATAATTGGGATGACCTAGTAAATATGCTAACTTGAGCCTGTTGTACAAAGTATGTCACCCATGACATCCAGGTCTGGAAGAGGAGATCGCACGACAAAGTGCATTCAGCCCGTCAGCAGAGTGGAATATAAGTCCAGTTCACATCAGACAGCTACACACTTTATTTCAGCAGATTCTAAAAACCTATACAAGAAGGGGAACTTATCATACCATTAGACTATAATGGAATTTGATGTAACCGGTTGTGGGGTCGTCATGTTTTATTCAGGAAATGTTCAAATTGTTAAATTGCATTCTCATAGTAATGAGTCCTCGGTGTTACTCAAACCAACGGGCCTCATGCGAGAAACCGCTCGTCAAACAGATCTCTGATTAAGTGGCTGCTGTGAGGGATTTAAGAGAAGTTGCTGCGTTCACTCATTTTCTCGTGTTTTTAATTTTCTCTTGGGTTTGAACACGATTAACGAGTGGGCGAGACTTGTCTTAATAGTCTGCTCTTATCCAAGCTTCAGTTTGTCACTAATGGATTGTATATTTTATACAGTTCTAATTATAATACAATTCACAGTTGGCTATTGATGCTTTTGTATGATATCAATATGAAGATCTTAAGCTGTAAAACCACTTCAATTCTGCACTAGCTGAAGGTTCATTTGTCTCTTTATATAATAAGATCAGTGAGAAGTGTAACCATGGATGCCTTGGCGTGTCCGGCCTTTGATAAGAGAGAGCTTTAGACTGCATCCTGATATTTGCAGAGGCGAATGGATGCTTCTTCATCTGCAAGTTTATGTACGTGGGATACACAATGCCTGACAGTGCAACATCACCTATTATGACACGTGTTCTGTAGTCTATCTCCGGGATGGAAACCTTCCCTTTACCCCCTCCCGTTGCAGATGTTTTTTTCACATCGCAGCCTTTCTTTTTTTTAATGTCAGTGACAGTATGACCCTCGGGTAGACGTAGCATTGCAGCGCTTGTTATTGTTCCCCATTCCTTGAATTCAACAGGTCCTTTAATTCCACTGCTCACGGTGTTCAAACATGGATTTTCCTTTATGGATCTTCCATGTTGCCGTGTTCATGAATGAAGACGTCCAGACATGTAGGACAGGATGTGTAAATGGCGTCATTGAGGGTTAATTGTGCTCATTTACACTTCTGGTGAACGTGCACTCATTTATGCATTCACAATCCTGTGTTGTGTGTTTCCCTGCAGTCATCTTCGGGGAAGATGTTGCCTTCGGTGGAGTGTTCCGATGCACAGTGGGTCTGAGAGACAAATACGGTAAGATGATCTGTTCTCTGCCTGCATTAGAAGAGTTTGCCACCAGGTGGCAGCAGAGGACTGTGAACAATCTCTCCACTTCCTCTCTTGCGAGGTCATATCCCCGTTCACTGTTCACCTCGAGGACCAGAAGGATCCGTTTGCACTTATTTGTCGTTTGTAGCAGAGAAGCCTGACCAACGAGACACAGTGAGCTGGTGAGGAATGTCAATGCCCACGTCTGAGTTTGTTTTAGGAAACTGCTCCTTTTACTCTGGTGTTCAAATGTTGCTCGAGACGTTGCTAAAGTCAGGCCCACCGAACTAGTTTAATATGCCTCATGTGAATATCATAAGTCTTTTAAAGGGTAAATCAGCTCTGAGTTACACACAGAAAAGACTGTTCTCCATGGATTCATTCTTTCCAGCAGGTAGCAGTCGTGGTACACGTTGGCTTATTACAGATGTATCAGAGTTGGCGCATGTGTCGGCTAACGAGTAGCAGGAACCGGCAGTGCAGACGTGCCGGAGATGTGTTTGAGTTCATTTAACTGATGGGCCTTTTTCACAGCAGACATTTTGACTTGTCACAGTAGGAAAAAACAGTGCAGGTGCTACTTTATAGATTTAACAATGGCTCCATTCAAGTGTCCCGAGTGAGCGGTGACATTGAGCCGGCATGCACGATACCAGGAACCTGAAGCTGAAGCTGAAGCAGCTAAATGGAATTCAGCCATCAAATCATAGTTCCTTGCATTAGGATGTTAATAATTAACCGTGGCTATCAGAAACAGTTACAAGAAATATTAAAGATTTTTAAAAAGCTGAGCAAAACTCAGAGGAGCGGCTTGTCACATAAAGGAGAATATTATGGTCCGCTTTAAAGGTGTGCACACCTTAAGTGCGCCTGAGCTGGAGCTGTTGCTAACATCGGGGCTAACCCGCTTCATTTCAAATGTCAGCTGGCTGACGAGCAAGACACGGGAACTCAGCTTGGGTCTCCTCACGATTCTCGAGGAGCGGTAGCATTTATTCACGAACAAACAAACTGTACACACACACTGCACTGCTACATTCACAGCTGGAACGTTACTTCACACGAGCGGACGCTCCCTAACGCTACGCTGGGGTTGCAATAAAGATTATGCCAGGCAGACTCCCAGCTGACAACCTCCCAGCTGAACTAATTGATGAGGTGGAACTTACTGCCTGTTTTTGCACAAATGCTGCAGCTGGCGAAAAATGATGGATACAACCTGTTTGCATCAGGCGAAGTTCGGGCTGCGTTGCTGTAGTGGTATCGGGTGCGGTTGTATCAGATGTAGTTTTACAACCATGAGCACAGTATCGAACCCATTACCCAAAACTGGTATGGGTGCATTCTTAAGTCTGTCGTTGACAGACAATGAAAAAGCCATGACAAGACATGGCAACAGCATTGAGCTGTTTTCTATATAGAATAGGCTATGGGCAGGCTCAAGCTGGATGCCGAGTAGACTATGTAGACTATATACAGTGGGGAAAAAAAGTATTTAGTCAGCCACCAATTGTGCAAGTTCTCCCACTTAAAAAGATGAGAGAGGCCTGTAATTTTCATCATAGGTATACCTCAACTATGAGAGACAGAATGAGAAAAGAAAATCACATTGTCTGATTTTTAAAGAATTTATTTGCAAATTATGGTGGAAAATAAGTATTTGGTCAATAACAAAAGTTCATCTCAATACTTTGTTATATACCCTTTGTTGGCAATGACAGAGGTCAAACGTTTTCTGTAAGTCTTCACAAGCTTTTCACACACTGTTGCTGGTATTTTGGCCCATTCCTCCATGCAGATCTCCTCTAGAGCAGTGATGTTTTGGGGCTGTCGCTGGGCAACACGGACTTTCAACTCCCTCCACAGATTTTCTATGGGGTTGAGATCTGGAGACTGGCTAGGCCACTCCAGGACCTTGAAATGCTTCTTACGAAGCCACTCCTTCGTTGCCCGGGCGGTGTGTTTGGGATCATTGTCATGCTGAAAGACCCAGCCACGTTTCATCTTCAATGCCCTTGCTGATGGAAGGAGGTTTCCACTCAAAATCTCACGATACATGGCCCCATTCATTCTTTCCTTTACACGGATCAGTCGTCCTGGTCCCCTTGCAGGAAAAACAGCCCCAAAGCATGATGTTTCCACCCCCATGCTTCACAGTAGGTATGGTGTTCTTTGGATGCAACTCGGCATTCTTTCTCCTCCAAACACGACGAGTTGAGTTTTTACCAAAAAATTCTATTTTGGTTTCATCTGACCATATGACATTCTCCCAATCCTCTTCTGGATCATCCAAATGCTCTCTAACAAACTTCAGACGGGCCTGGACATGTACTGGCTTAAGCAGGGGGACACGTCTGGCACTGCAGGATTTGAGTCCCTGGCGGCATAGTGTGTTACTGATGGTAGCCTTTGTTACTTTGGTCCCAGCTCTCTGCAGGTCATTCACTAGGTCCCCCCCGTGTGGTTCTGGGATTTTTGTTCACCGTTCTTGTGATCATTTTGACCCCACGGGGTGAGATCTTGCGTGGAGCCCCAGATCGAGGGAGACGATCAGTGGTCTTGTATGTCTTCCATTTTCTAATAATTGCTCCCACAGTTGATTTCTTCACACCAAGCTGCTTACCTATTGCAGATTCAGTCTTCCCAGCCTGGTGCAGGTCTACAATTTTGTTTCTGGTGTCCTTTGACAGCTCTTTGGTCTTGGCCATAGTGGAGTTTGGAGTGTGACTGTTTGAGGTTGTGGACAGGTGTCTTTTATACTGATAACGAGTTCAAACAGTTGCCATTAATACAGGTAACGAGTGGAGGACAGAGGAGCCTCTTAAAGAAGAAGTTACAGGTCTGTGAGAGCCAGAAATCTTGCTTGTTTGTAGGTGACCAAATACTTATTTTACCGAATAATTTACCAATTAATTCATTAAAAATCCTACAATGTGATTTCCTGGATTCTTTCCCCCCATTCTGTCTCTCATAGTTGAAGTGTACCTATGATGAAAATTACAGGCCTCTCTCATCTTTTTAAGTGGGAGAACTTGCACAATTGGTGGCTGACTAAATACTTTTTTTCCCCCACTGTATATGTATGTATGTATGTATGTATGTATATGTATATGTGACCAATTTTTTCTTGATTTATTGAAAATTGTTATGTTTCGACCCAAATGATTTTTGTATTCAGTAAATCTGGGAACAGCCATTTTGCAGCCCGATGTGTCTTCAGCTAAATTCCGATCCTCTAAAACTAGATGACTAACCAGAGCACAGAAACGCTGCAATGAGGGTACTTAACTGTTCTTTCCTTGTTTATCCTGGCATAAAAGCAGCATCGCCTAGATGTCAGTAGATTGACTTTTTCCTATTTTAAGGTGTGTGTGTGTGTAATAGCATGGAGTGTCGAAACCACCCCACAGTAGCTGGCTTTGTCTTTTGTTTTCATTGACGTCAGAAGTGTTGACCTTTTTGGAGAGGGATCATTATTTTCCATCTCGTCCTTGTGTACAGTGACGAGCGCAAATCTGTTTTTATCCCCCTCACCGCTGAAAGGGATGGCGCACACCTTTTGCCACTCTCATCCATTATACATAACAGAAGTTAATGCAGGGCGGACACTATATGAAAGGCTTTTTACGAGGCGGATGCATTCGCCTTGGTGATCCAGCCCTTCCGACGCTGGCTGACGGCTGCCTCTGACGGCCGTTTCTCTGAAAACAACTGCACAGTTTGACCCCATACGCTCACGACGTGCTCTCCCTGATGTGTGCAAACATTTTGACTATTAAAATATGCATCAGTGAACAGCTGAGGCGCAAGCGTCAACCCAACAATGCACGTGATGTTCACACATTGTGATATTGTTGCATCCCTTAGTTGTGTTTTTCTCGTCATTAACTGATTTATTTCTCATTGTTTTGATGACACAGAACCACACACACGTGTTAGTTGGTGTCACTTTCACATGGAGCTGCATATTTGAGGCGAAGCACAGTATTTGGACCGCTTCATTGCTCGTTCCTCACAGGGTTTTGGGCGCTAATCGAACCCCGGGGCAGAGCAGGGCACGTGCAGAGTGCAGAGTTTCACTGCTGAGAAGACGGAATCTTCCCAGCGAAACCGAAAAAGACCGGATTAGCAAATGAGACGAGAGCAAAAAATAACAACTCTCGACCCAAATTTAGAGTCCAACTCTTGCGGCTCTTTTTCAGATTATAGGGTGGAGGATGGAATTTTTAATTTATTTCTTTTTTCTGTGGATGGATTTTCGGGCTGCATGGCACTTTGAGAGAGTGTTCTTTGCAGTGTCATTACGTGTGCGGCATGGGCCTTGTTCTGTTTGAAGACGAAAGAGAAAACCTGCTATTCCTTAGACACCCTCTAGAGTTGTGGTCAGTGTTCTCAATTACATGATGAAGTACAATGTGCTGTTTGGAGATCCCAGCCTGCAGTCTCTTCCTCCCTCACCCAGCAGCCACAGGTCCACTTCCACTGCTACCGCTTCATTTACTTACAAGTGTTCTCCTCCTCTCCACCACTGTCTCCCCCCCCCCCCCCAGGTAAGGACAGAGTCTTCAACACTCCCCTTTGTGAGCAGGGGATTGTGGGATTTGGCATCGGCGCAGCTGTTGCTGGGGCCACAGCCATTGCTGAGATCCAGTTTGCCGACTACATCTATCCTGCTTTTGACCAGGTAAGTGGGGCGGCAACTAACGATCAATCTGCCGATTTTCATTTTCTTGATCGGTCTCTTTGTCTGTTAAATGTCTGTGGAAAAACGAAAACTGTGAAAAGTGCCTTTTTCTTAATTTCTTAAAGCCCAAGGTGACGTCTTCAAATGTCAGCAGTCCAAAAATCTAAAGATCTTCACTTTACACGATTTCATTTCTTTCACATTTTGGAAGCCCAAACCATAAACGTTTGTCCTTTTGCTTAAAAATTGACTGAAACAATCTAATAATCAAAGCAGTTCAACTTTCTGTCAATCGCCTAATCTGTAAATCGATCAATTGTTGCAGATCTACAGGTTCATGCTATCGCAGATTAGTACAGTGCAACAGAACTATTGATGTCGTAGAGACAAGAAGTCTCCTAGATATTTGTACACGCTGCAAAGTGACACCTGAAAGTTGAAATGTAATTATCTTATGCGTGTTTTAATATTGACGAGGTCCAGGAAGAAGCTCTCTCTTTGCAGCGGCACGTTGCATGTACTCTCGTTAAAGGGTTAGAGCGGTGGAAAGTACGCTGACGTAACTCCTAAAGCCGGCCTCGTGCACCAAAATCCTTCTCGGAGTCATAACTTGGACTACGAACTTGGAAAAGCTGGATGCACAGACATCATGCAGTTATTGTTGGATCAGAACACGCTGATATATGATATGGCTCAAGGAAGAAATTAAATATAATGAAGCCCCTAAAAACCTCAGATTATTTAATGAAAAAAAAACGTCCTGTTTGCATCCCCCAAAGCATGATGACAACTGCAAAAATCTAAATATATGAATCACTAATGGCAAAAACACTGAACACATTTTATGTTGGTACGAAGGCTCAGAACAGCCCATCTACATGGTTTTTAGATGCAGTTCCCTCACACGCTATATGATGGCATATCTGAGTGACCTAACTATTCCTATAAAACACCAGCGGATGGCTGGCCAAGACATCGAGTGACTACGCCAAAGGCCAGTGTAAAAGCAGCTTTTTAAAGGCTGAAAATGTCAACAGAAATATACTGTGGCAGCTGTCTCTAATCAGAAGGTTTCATTTATGTGTGAACGATACTACTACTACTTCTTTCTATGCCGCGAGAACGTAGAGCTAAGTTGTTCTCTTCATACCTGCCTGATGTACGAGAACACACATCTGCAAAGGCGCTGGACTGAGAGCACGCAAACAAACCTGGTCCAAGTCGGCGGAATGATGAATCAGTAAAGAACATGGTTGTGTAATATATCTTTGCATCCATGTGACTCGTACCAGACCAGTCCTATATATGTGATAACCCCCTATGCAGATGCAGTTTTATTTGAGGAGGGCTGAGGCTTCCTCGCAAAGGTCACAAAATTCAGTATCTACAGAAACACTTGAAAGAGAGAAATTGCTAATCCGGCAGCCGCTTATGTTTTTGATTTTATTTATTGTTCCGACTCGTCTTCTGTCTCGTTTGTACATCATATTCCCTGTTGCGTGCAGGTGTTTGATAAACAGACCTCAAATTGCCTATCGTCTCATGTTCTACAATCTAACTCTGTAGATCTGTTGACAAAAGACGCCCGTTCTGTGTCTTTCCCGAGGAAGATTAATGTGGCATTACCAGGCTGAGCAGGACATCGGTGCTGTTTTACCGTGCACAGCACACATGCCGAGTATCCTTGGCCCTCCACAAGATGAATGTGTGATAATGGGGCCAGTTTCTAAGAGAAATCCTGCTGCGATGCAGAGCCACAGTAGATCAGATCTAGTGCTGCTCCCTCTTTCTCTCTCCTTCTGTGTTCTCACTTAAAAAAACGGCGCCGTCCAAACTGACCTGAGAGAGGCATAAAAGCTGAATTAACAGCCCACCTGAGGTTCAGGGTGGAACACTTGGGACACCTTTTTGGAGGATGCCCAGTGTCAGAAACTGTAGAAGTAGGTAAAAACCAGACACTTGAGGTTATTGTACTCGTTAAAAATATAATACGGTTTGTAAAAGCTTTAATAAGGGGAACAGCAGAGAGAATGGCTCGGCATATGAAGTACCCACAGGTGTGGGGTTTTTATCCATAAACATCTTCTAGGGGGCTTTTTTGCTAAATAGATCTGCAATTGATTAAACCAGGATACACTTGAAAGAACCTCATAATGTTTACGACCCAGATGTCCCATAAGGATCACTAACGTTTCTTCTTCTTATGTCAACCAATAATGTGTGGTTGTGTTAACCTGAATTGGTCTCCAGATCGTCAATGAAGCAGCCAAGTACCGCTACCGGTCTGGCAACTTGTTCGACTGCGGCAGCCTCACCATCCGAGCTCCGTGGGGGTGTGTCGGCCACGGGTCACTCTACCACTCCCAGAGCCCCGAGGCCTTCTTCGCCCACTGCCCTGGCATCAAGGTCAGCCATGTGGTTCATTCCAGATTCTCTTTTCTATTTGATTTCCTTTTTAGAGAATTGTTGTTGTTTTTTCTATTTGTGCAAACGTCTTGCTCCAAAACATGTGAAAGAAGGTATTCTGGGAGACCATCAAGGTGTATACATAGCTCTGATTCCATTTGTGAAGCGCACTCCCAATTTGAAGTCCTCAGTTAGAGTCACGCTAACGCAACCACAATACTGAAAGTCACTCAACAGAGTAAATACAGAATAAGGCAAAATAATTACAATCCGTTCTAATTATATTGATTGACAGTGTTCCAACAAGTAAAAACACAAGAATGTCTTCAAGCTGAAACAACAAGTTCCCGGTTTCTCATATTTCCCCGAAACACTTCACATATGGTCGGCACACAAAGAGGAAACCTGCTGAACGTTCGGAAAAAGTAACAGGAGGACTATTTAATCAATGTATTACTTTACTACTTTATTCAATCACAGCTAAAGCTTACCTTCTATTGTTTCAAGAAGGGACTAAAGAAGAGCAGAACCAGGGCCACTAGACGCCTAGTGAATAAAACCTGCACCAACCATGATCTAGAAGGATAACATGTTGGACAACTAGAAATAGTGAGGAGATGGGGGGGGTCAAGGGTGAGAGGGAACCCCAGGCTTACATTTACTCCCAAGAAAAGGTGCTCTTGCTCTGTATGAACAGAAAGTACTGTGGCTCTTCTCTCCCCCACAGAGCATCTTGGTGTGTGTATATACTTATTTAAAAAATAAATGCTTTTGCTGAGACACTTTGAACCGTAGAAGCATTTTTTACTACAATTCCTTGTTAGAACTGTCCACTCAACCATTCATTCCCTTCAAAACTCCTCCAGACTCAAACACTGGAAGCGTGACACGGTGTTGTTAATTCCTAATAACAAAACCTTGAAAGAATATTTTGGAAACGCCCACGGCAACTTCCAAACCTTATCTGGAGACGACCTGTCATGTTTGTTTTCATTTGCCAAAGGAAGCTCAGCTGTTTTCTGCTCCATCTCAGCTAAGTCAAAGTTCTTCAAAACAAACTAGAGGATTTGTTTCTTCCCCGTTCACTCTGACCTAACAAGCTACGGGGACTGGAAAAAGAAAAACGGTTGGTTGTGCACCATTGTGGTGGCAACTGGAGAACAATAACTATCCAGTCACATAAATATAGTTGTATCTAAAGTTCATGCTCAATGCTAAACACACCTGTAAGCTTCAGGCTTGTACAAAGCCAAGAGAGAGCTTGCTACTTTGATTCTGTGTGAGAACAATAACTCACTCACACAGACGTCTTAACTCCTCACAGAGATTTGATGCAGGAAGTTTACTCTGAGCGCTGATAGTTTCTCTGAGATGTGCTCAAAGTAAACAAGTTTGAATGTGAAGATATAAATTCCCTTCCTGCTTTTAAAAAAAGGAAGAAAAACAACTAAGCATACATATAATCATCATCAAAGTATCTCGCTCACCACAGAGCGGGAATGACTGTATGGTTTACGGCTCCAGTTCATCCACTGTGAGTAACCACCACTGAGAGCAATAAACATGTTCGTCTGGCAGCAAATGTCAGCCAGATAAATGTTAATATTTGTACAAACAATCATCTCTGTTCTCTCCATCTGAGAGTCGGTCCCACACCACAGTCTGACAGGCTCGATGCAGCTTTGACCCAGTGTTGTCCTGATGCCCCAATTATGACCGAAATACCATTTAAGAGATTTAATATCCGACACAGAGACACGCGTTGATGTGAAGAGTCTTAGTCCACTCTGTACATTAAGCAGTTCAGCAGATACTCTCTTGCTCTGGAGCCCTTCTACACTACACACAATAAAATGAGACGTGAACAAGTTACATTGTAAACATCCAAGTTGGTTATGTTTCATACATAGCAGTGTAGGTGAGATTGTTTTAACATGGTTACTGGTTCTAATACAGTGTGCAATGTGTCCCTCAGGTTGTAATACCTCGTAGTCCAGTGCAGGCCAAGGGACTGCTCCTCGCCTGCATCGCTGACCAGAACCCCTGCATATTCTTTGAGCCCAAGATCCTGTACAGATCAGCAGGTAAGCATGGCTGTCTGCGAATATGGATCTTAAGTCAACTTCAACTGAGCTCGGGTTGTTGCGATGTTGTCGACTAACCGATTTAGATGACTTTAATCGAAAGATCTGTAAAACTGAGTCCCCCCCAAAAACAATCGCATAAAAACAGCTACTTTAAACCCTGTGTTTACCAGAGATGTGCTCACGGCTTTCTTGGAAAGCCATCGTGCCTCGGTAGGCTTCGATCCGTTTGCGTAGACCCCTTATTGAAATGTTCTCCCCCCTCGCGAGGCAGGAAAACAATCAATATGCCTGACTGCAAACAATGCGAGTTACATCAGCGGGGACCACGAGTGCGAAGCAGGCGCTCTCAATGGGCTGTGAAGTGTTGACGGTGCCCAGCTGAATCCTCCTCCTCTGCGGAGGGAACATCAGTGTTGAGGCCAGCATGGCTCTGGGCAGGCTGCCTTGCGAAACGGTGTCCAGCAAAGTGGTAATAAACTCTTAACAGTTGTCGGCAGCTGTTGCAAAACAATGCTGCCTTAGCTACATGATGTTAATTTGGTATGTACGATTAAGACAGCGTTGGAGGCTCTAGATGATGACCGAGCCTGTTATGGTAATGAAAGACAGAACCAGGAACAGATTGGTACGACCAGCCTCCAAGCAAAAATATCAGTTTTCACAAGTTTTTGTTAGTTTTCCCGCTTTCATAAGAGCCAGATGAGATTGGGAAATATTGCAGCCAACTGCTGCGATTGTTTCAATTATGGCACTAGGTTGGTGATCATTGTCCAAAACATTTCTCATGTCACAGTGCAGTCGGATATTAAAACCACTCCTCGGCTCAAATGGAGTGACTCCAATCATCACGTCTCCTTCGTTTTTGCTTGAGTTTTTTTTTTTTTTTATCAAAAAGCAACATGATGTATAAGTTTTAAGTCCCAATCACAGCAAAATTCATTTCCACGCCCTAAATATTTGGTTCTACCGTAGAAGCGTAAAAAAAAGAAACTCTACACAATAGGTTGGTAATAGGCCAATAAGTTCACATAGTTCATAGACAGTTACATAGACAAATGCAGTGCCCAATCAAAAAGTGCTTGCCCGGAACCGACCGATTGCCTGGCCTCCGGTATTGCTGTTACAGCTTTCTCAAGAACCGCTGATCCAAACAACATCACACTCGACACTGAGCTTCCTTGTGTCCTCAGCAATGCACATGCCAAGTTTAAAGTCGATCGGATAAATGGTTGTCCAGAAAATCACTAACAAACACGTCCCGTAGATGTCGGGTCCGTCTTGCTTTGTCTGTTCTTGAATGTGCTGTAGTGAGCCATTAGGAAGAGTAAGAGTGAATAGGGGGCCCTCTCTCTCTCAATACACTACACAGTGTGTACACAAAGCACCTCCATAATACTAAATATGTCCTGTAGATCTGAAGAGCTTGCACTTCCTTGTGTCCTCAGCAATGCATCCACCAACTGTGAAGTGGATCAGATGAACAGTTGTCGAGGGACAGACATAAAGACAGAGACTCCTTCCACTTTAGTTGGCTGTATCTGTACCACGACTCCTGTGTCTGCAAACCATTCCTCTTTTTGTGGAGCAGTTTATATTCCAGAGAAGCTTGACGAAGACTGGATCGTTTAACGGAGATCATAAGTTGCGACAGCCTTAATTTCTTTTTTTTTTTACTTTCTGGCTCAATATTCCCTCAAAGGTCAGCACTGTTTAGACAGCTGGCTGTAGATCAGTGTTGAACTGCAGAATGAAATGAATTAGCCGGGATTTACTTGGCACCTGCGATCAAATACTTATCGCAGTGAGTTTGGTGGAATGAATTTATTTTGCTGCGAAATTTCCGCAACTTAAATTCCTGTGTAGCCTTTAGATTTATAGACTACTAGTTACATGGTAATACATGATGTCTTGCCTTTTTCCTACTGTTACGAAACGCAAAGTGTAGCAGTAGAATACATGAGAAAACATAAAGGCAGATACTCCATGTCGTTAATACCTCACAGCTGTGGTGGACTAATAGACTTTGACTAATCTGTCAAAGCTGTGCATGATTCAGAGACTGGAAAAAAAAGAATGTGCTGACATTTGATAGGCCCATTTGTGAAAATGCACAGCGCGGTGGCAGAGCGAGTCACTGTGCATGATACCACGAGACAAGAATGATGCCCGAGACTGATGTGGTTCAACAGGGCAGCCGAGAGCAGGTGTGAGTTCTTGGCAGTGTTATTGTTCGTATTGGCGCTCGGTTGATATGGATCTTGTTTTATTTGCCTCTCGGGAAGTGATGAGATAGCACATGAGTAATATGCTGTATGTAAGAGAGGTCTTGCCTGCCAGGTTATTTCTTCCAGCATAGAATGAACATATCACTTAATGCTTAACATGTGGGTTTTTTTTCTGGATGGGTTTTTTTAAGGTTATTTATGTTTTAAAAGCTGTGTGACAAATCACTCATCTGTCTGACACAGGGGGGCTTAGTGCTGGTAGCGTTTCAGGAGTTACTTTGGTTTCCTTATGGGTCAGAGCGAGCCAGCTCCCGGGCCAGGTCCACATGCCTGTAATGATCTCTGCCTGGATTATGAAGTCATCCTTTTAATTGCAGCGTCCTCTCTTTTCTCGTGCAGAAGAGGATAAAAGAAAACAACACACATTTGTCTCATCAAGCCCACACTGTTTTAGCGAGGCCTGAGGTTCCACTTATTAAACCCTAACCTAGTTTTCATAATTCAATTTTGACGTTTCTGCAAAATGCTATTATTCCACTCTGAGGGCCTATTTTCTGTCTCGTCTGGACGCTTAAATACAGGCGTTGCGTGTGATTCACGCGAGCCCTTAATGTTGTTTTAATACAGTCGTCCGCTTAGGGCAATTTTTCTTTCCTCTACGGCTTCTGAAGTCATTCAACATTTCCAGAAAGGTCTCAAACCCAGCGGCTCCCCAGAGCAAAATGACTCTGATTAATTGTAAATTTGACTTCATGCGTTGCCGTGTAGGAATGCTTTCAGCAGTTCGGCTCAAAGTCCTCTCGCACATGAAGATCCCATGCGCTGCGTGTTTTGTGCAGCCAAAGCCATGATGCTGAATGAGATTCAACGATAGTTCAAATCCTGCCGTTAGTGATAATCTGTTGTCTTGGCACCATGAACAGCGCTAATGAGCTGCATGTTTAGAAGTGATGGCAGTTTGAGTTTATGATAAGTTTTTGCATTGTAATGATTTCCAAGACCATGCTTCAGTTTTCCAAGACATTATTATTGAAAGCGTATACTTACATGCACTTTGTCTTGGACTCTGGATCAAAGAGAGGCCGGCCGCGAGGCCCCCCCTTTTTGGACCGAGGCCTCGTTTATGTGGCCGCTTCTCTGATTGATATCCCATCCCACCAATGTTTTGTTGTCGGGATTAATCAGGGTTAGGGGCTCGCAGCTGGCAGAAGATACCGTTAGGTCATGCGTATGATTGTGCTGATAAAAGCACACTATGTCTCTCTCTGGTGGGAGATGAGGTCCTGGAAAAAGCATTTGTAATAGGCCAGATACAGTGTTCTAGAGTGGGAATTGTGTTCTTTGGGGGAATGACAGACCGTCGGTTTGTCATCGAGTCTATCATTTAGGGTCCGGTCAGTTCGGGATCTGAATATTTTACATGAAAACCGCAGGGTGCATAGTGTTCAGAATCGACCTCGGTTTGTTTTGCGTGTGAGCTTGCATGTAATGTGTTTGCCCGTAAAGCGCTGATGGAATACTTGTGTGTGTGTGTGTGTGTGTGTGTGTGTGTGTGTGTGTGTGTGTGT